CTCAAGGCACTCAAAATCCATCAGGAGATGCAACCTTTTATAAGTATACTACCTACATAGTGTAAATCACGTTTACATTTATAATTACTTCATTTGATCGCCGCAAGAGTCCTATGAAGTAGGGTATTATGATAGTTGCTTTTATTACAAGTGAAATAACCGAGGCTCAGAGAGGTTATATGATTTATCTTGGATGACACAGCAAATAATAAGTGAGATTTTTAATTCAAACCCAGGTCTTCTGACTCAGTTCTCTTCTATTTTGCTACCATATCTATTTAGTGTGATCAATGAATGTTCGATATGCTGTAGGAGGTTAAGTAGATCAGAGAGAAAGACTATTTTTTTTTTTTTTGGAGAAGTCTGGGAAGGCTTCACTGGGGAAAAGACATTTAAATGGGACTGTGAAAAATGAGGAGTTTTCAGGTGGAGGAGGAGGCATATTTCAGGCAAAGATTCAATGAAAGGCACAGAAAGATGAAAATGAATAGTATACTCTGTAGTGGGGGAGGGGGAAGAAGTCCAGAGGGGGAGGTTGGGGCAATACTGTGAAAGATTTTCAGTGTCATTTGTATGCAGTTGGGCAGTCCATGAAAGCATGGGACTGAAACAGTCAGATCTGGGCTTTCAAAAGAAAATTAGAGTGGCAGATTGGTGGATGAATTGGAGCATGAAGAAATAAGTAAGGAGTTTTTTGCAATCGTGCAAGCGAGATAAGTGTCTGAATGAAGATAGTGAAAATGGAAAGGATCTATTTAAAAATGCATGCGTGAGTTAGAATCCCTTATTGACCTTGGGAGGAGGAAGTGGGGGAGGAGAAAAGATTATTTTAGAAAACCTCTGGCGTAGATGACTTTGGTACATGAGATGACCTCAACCAAACTGGAGAGTACAGAAAAAGTGATTTGAGAAGGAAATGGTAGGTAGGTGATGGGATTTTTCTTGTAATTAAGATAAAGCATTTGCTGTTAGTCATGTTTGGTTTGAGATGCTTGTTTGTAACACCTAGGCAGATATGTCAAGCAGGTGGCTAAAAATATGGGTACAGACCTCAAAGCTTAAAGCTGGAGTTCTAGGTTTTAGAGTCATCAGAATACAAGTTATATTCCTATTGCAAAGAGGCACAAGGAAACTTTTTTGGGGTGATAGGAAGGTTCTGTTTCTTGTTTTTGGTAGTGGTTACAAGGGTATATATGTCTCAAAAACAGATCAAACTGGTACACTTAAAATGAGTATATTTTATTGAATTCTAAATCCCTTTTTTAAAAAAGTCCATTAAGCCGGGCTCGGTGGTTCAGCCTGTAATCCTGCACCTTTGGGAGGCTGAGGTGAGTGGATTGCCTGAGCCCGCAGG